AGTACATTGGGGGCTTTGGTGAGATCCGTGTACACCGAGAGTGAAAGATAAGCCCTGTGCAGATTCAGAAGCCTAGTACTTCAGTGGTTTTTATAAAGGTCCAGTCATTTAGGGCATATGGGGAAATCCTCTTCAAAGTATGCCTCTTGTTTCTCCACTTCTAGAAAGAAAGTCCCGGGGTTGGCATGGTGGTTAAGGATGCTGGATTCCCACATGGCCAATGGCAGTTCGAATCCCAGACCTGGAGGCTTGTCTCTCTCTCTCTCCCCTGCCCCCTCTGGTGAAATAAAATACATACATACATGCATACATACATACATACATAGAAAGTTCCTTGGCTTTTTTTTTCCCTATAGGGCATGTGCACTCTCCAGACAAACACAGAGAATGAATGAGAAGGAAGTGAGAAATCACTTCCCAGCACAGATGGCCACACCGCAATCCCTTCTCCTCTTGAGATTTTGGGCATAGAAGAACATATGCCCAGCGCGATTTTTCAAGTCACCGGTTCCAGGACTCATACCATGCAGTCGGCCACGTGGGATCCAGCTTCTTCCTCACAGCGCTGAACATTCCATGGGACCCACCCTGATAGAATTCAGTCTGAGCCCATAGCAACAGGATGGAAACTCAGGCCGGGCTCGGAGACTGATGTTGCAATCTTGAGAATTCCTTCTTTCTCAGGAAACCTCAGCCCATGTTTGTAAAGCTTGATCCTTTGAGGGCCCCTCGCATTATGAAGGGTAATCTGTAAAAGTGGAAGTTGACTGATTTAAATAGTTTTTTAGAATCATTTATTTAATTTTATTCATTTATCATTATTCTTCAATTTGATCAGAGAGAGAGACAGAGAAGGAAAGTAAGAAAGCAAGCCGCCAAGTGCAGGACTCAAACAGCGGTTGGGCACGTCAGAATCCAATGACTTGACCGCCATACCACCTGACGGCCCTCTGATTTAGATCTTAAATCACTCGGACCTTGTCGTGGAAACAACGCAAGCAAGGAAAGAATGGGAAGATGTATTCAAAGTGTTAAAAGAAAAACAATTCAACCAAGATTACTGAACCTGGCAAAATCATCCTTCAAATGGGAAGAAAAGAGGGACCAGCAGTTAACGTAATGGCTATGTCACTGGACTCCCATGTAGTTGACCGCGGTTCGAGTCCCGAACCCGGTGGCTTAAACTCACACCGGGCGCGTATGCGTGCGTGCCCAAGATCCCAAGACGAGAATGGAGGAGAAGGGATTGCGGCATGGCCATCCCCCCTCTGGGGGGTGATTTCTCACTCTCTGGCGAGCACATGCGCCCTATAGCAAAAACCTCTCCAAAAAAAGGGGGGGAAGAAAAGATAAAAACATAATCAGATAAAGAAAACCTGAAAGAATTTACCAACACCAGACCAACTTCTCAAGCAGTACTGAAGGGCGTACTATACCAGGAAAACTAAAGAGAAACTGACAGTCATGAGAGAACAAAAAAGCAACCAAGAGACTTTAACATAAATGAATGAAAACACCATGTTAGATAGACACTTTTTTCAGTATTTTTGGTCCAAGTAACTACTCATGTATTTACTCCTTGGGAAGTCTAAATTAGATTTTTTTTAATGTTTAAGATTCTATCTCCAGGGGCCAGCAGGTGGTGTGGTGGTTAAGGTGCTGGACACTCCCACATAGCCGACTGTGGTTTGAGTACTAGACCTGGTGGCTTGCTTTCTCACTTTCCCTCTCTCTCTCTCTGTATCTCTCTCTGGTCAAATTAAAATAAATGAATGAATAAATAAAATTAAATAAATAATTATTAAAAAAAAGATTCTATCTCCAATTATACTGTTTTTATACACTACAAAAGTTATTGTGACCATGGGGCTGGCAGGTGGCCTGGTGGTTGAGAGCGCTGGACTCCCACATGGCTGAGCACGGTTCAATTCCTGGACCTGGTGGCTTGCTTTCTCATTTTCCGACTCTCTCGCTTTCTCTCACTCTGTCTCTTTCTGATCAAATTAAAATAAATAAATAAAATAATTCTCAAAAAAAAGTTATTGTGACTCAAATGAAAAAAAATGTATTTGTGTCAATATTAAATTCTTTGCATATTGTAGAAAAGAAATACTTTGGAATCACTTTTAGAAAAATCAAGTTTCAGGGACCAGCAGATGGTGTAATGGCTACATCACTG